AGTGTGTCTTCTAAGACAGGACACATTGTCATTTAACTGACTAGAGAAATACACATTTTGGGACAGCCCAAGGAACATGTTATTCCTGTTGGGATTTATTGACTCCACAGAGGAATGATTTTGGTTTTCTGAGTAGACAGTCAACAGACTTCACTAATGGTGAAACATGCCTAAGAAAATTCTGATTTGTGAAGGCAGCTCTATCACAAGAAACTTTTTCTGTCAAAGGATTTCCAAGCATCTCTAGTCTTGACCCCTGCGAAGACTTACAGTGGAATTCAATTCATCTAACATCAGCCACGAAAAAAACATTGTCTTGAGCAGGGTGTCTAACACACACACAGAGTTGGTAGAAAGTAACAGAAGTTGATTCACTGCATATAGTTTAGACATCCCAGGAGAAGATGGTGGCTGCTCTTTCCATTCTCTAAAAGCAAGTTTAGACAGTTGGCTTTCACTGAGCAGCAAGCTGGGGGTACGTGAGTCATTGCATGGCATCACACGTACATGCAGGGCTGTTATTCACCCCCCATCTAATGTGGTGCTGAGTGAAATCTGACTGGGACTGAGCTCAGTGAAAAAAGCCCACCTTTACTGCCATCCTCAGTGTCACCCTGATTGCATATTTCTGCCTCAACAAAAGTGAAATGATTCTTTAGACTCTAAGTGGGAAAGACCTGCAGGTATAGCATGAAATAAGTGGCTGAGAGAAAATGTTTCAGCAGCCTAAGAGGCTAAGAACCTCTTTTCATTCCCTAATCAGAAAAACTCTCACTGAAAATGAAACTGATGGATTTGGAGTGGGATCTGATGAGATTTAAAAAGTCCTAGTGGTCTCACATTGCGTACAGCATTTAGGCAGCTCAAAACTGAAGCCTTGAAATGAGTGTACTAGTACTTAAAAGAAGACCCATAGTCAATAAAAATCCCTAAAAGAAAATAAATCAATTATGTTTTGGGGAGAATCCTTGTGTGTTTAACAAAGGTTTGAGTTGGGAGAAAAGATTTTTTTTTTGTTTTTTGTTAACTAATTACTAATTTTTATTTATCATTTGAATTACCCTCTAATGTAAAGAGCAGAGAGCAAAATGGCTTTGTATGTAGTTCTATGACATTCACTATCTAACTTAGAGAAAGATTTAACCTACAGGCTGGTTTTCAGTTAAACAATTTTTTCATCAGTTAATTTTACTGTATCCTAATTAGTTTGGGTTTTTTTAAGTGTTCTACTTATCCAGAATCAAATCTTAGCTTTGAGCAGTAATAGGATTGGAAATATGAAGGTTAAGTTTGTAGCCAATTCTTAAATCCGTTTTCCTCTATAAAGCATGTAAATTCACACTGTTTTTTCTGCAAGAGCGCAGAGAGACATATGTGTCATATTCAACTATAGCTTTACAATAAACAGAAGTTAAATGAAGCATTAGTGTACAAGATGATATTTGACCAAGGCAAAGACTTCTTGACCACACACAAGTAGCAATTTAAACATCTGACTTCCTTGAAAATGAATAATTCACTTTCCCTGGAAGAGGAGAGGCAGCCCAGTCAGATCTGGATGGATTTTATCAGACTGTGAAATAGCTGTGCTGTATGTAGAGAAATAATTGAGCTAGATCAAGCTGGAGAGGAACAGAAAAATGCTCATGCTGTGCTACAAGACCAGCAGTGTCACTGACCGTTCTTTCCTGCTCTGCCCTAAGTCTATCCTCTTCTAGCTCACATCACTATTGCCGCAGATAAATAATAATCAGCACCAGCACTCTAGCCTCAATCTATCACCAGTAAGAGATTTCAAAAGGCAATTGGCCCAGCTGGAGAAAACATCAAAGTGGAAAATATATTTGTGCCAAGGAAAAGTTATGCTTGTACCTGGGACTTGGACACATAAGGCTCTTGCGCACTTCTCTAGCCACCTGAGTACCCTTTTTTCCTAATCGCTTGCAGATATAAATTGGGCTCTGTGCGCATGGTATCAGCATACATGGAATTCACAGCAATATTCACAGCATCCACCTCTGGGAACTTGTCCCTTATGGTTTCATTCAGGAACAGATGTTTTAAGAACGTAGTTTGAATAGAAGTTTCATTATTTTCCTTTGAGGTTGAAAAATAAAATTGTTTTGCTCCATAAACTTCTCACCATTTTAAAGTTAGAACTAGGTCAATGGGATGGGACTGTGTGTGAGTGGGTTAGATACAGAGACCAAAAGTTGCTGAGCTCTCACTGTTTCCCACTGTATATTTGACTCACCACAGGAACTTGAGATAGCTCCTCTGTCTATGAAGCACTGATATGAACTCACTGAACCAGCAGGTGCTGAAGCTTAATTTCACTATCTACAGTACTGTGAGATCTTTATTTGCTGTGCGCTGTAAGAAGTGCAAAGTAACTTCCACAGTACCAAAAGTAACAGCAAGTAAAGTGAATTTATCTTGCACGTTTCCAATAGGAAGTCTTTGGTGCTTTGAGTATCTTTTCCAGCCGCCAATGGGATTTTGTCATTTTAATAGCAGCACACAAAAAAAAAACCCTCAAGTTTTTATTCCGTAGTGCTACTTTTGTGCACAAATAGTTATTAACTTTGCATCAACATCTCCATGGATTAAACAGTCCCTAAGTACACATTGACAGCACGGATCATTATGGTTATGGACCCTTAACATTTCAAATGGGAGGGGAGGGAGGTTGTGTGCGTGTGTATTCATCTCCTTGCTCCCTCTCTTTCACAAACTATAAGGTTTAATAGCGATTAACACTAGACCACAGCACTTCTAAATTAACGATAGCCCTGCCAATTCTAATTGGTATTCTAATTAGTCTGACAATTCTACTAATTAAGAACATTAAACTTTTTAACAAAGGCTATCTTTTTTGTGTTGTGTTTGGCAAAATGGAATCGAGGGTATAAGGGAACCTGAACTGCTACTTCAGAGAATTGCTGATGATTAAATTACAAGGAACAAGAAACCAAAAAGACTTGGGGAGCAGTAGAAACATTTATCTATGGCAGTTAAATAACAGGAATAGGCTATCTGAATTATAGGAGATAACAAATGACAGAGAAAGAGATTAATAAAATGAAAATTGCAAATCCAGAATACACGGCTGAAAGAGGTTTGCCTTTCAGAAATCCTGATTTAGCTAGAAATGCCTTTGTCTGGAGAAAGCTCACATTACAAAACTTGCTTTCCTTCAGATATGAAACAAAAGCAAAGGGGGGGGGGGGGAAATTTCCACAATGCCAAATTTTCAGTACCTGTTTGTTTCACATCAAACAAAATGTCTCATTTTAGGAAAAAAAAAAAAGTTCCTTTTTTTTATTTTATTTTATATATATATGTGATTTTGAAAAGAAGTATCCTTTTGAATCCCTTTGAAATGAATTAAAGACCTTACTTTCTCAAGTGTTTTATCCTCAAAGTGAAATTTCAGTATATTGCACTTAATACATACAGTTTTACGCCGAAAAGTAATACACAATCTCCTGAAAGAAAACATATTCTAGTTTCTGCCACTTTATGTCACAAGGTCAAACTGCAAACACCTTGTTCATAATCCCTATTTCTGATTCCACAGGAGTCAGAACATTTGCACAGACTCTTTGCAAAAAACTCACTGATGTCAGTTAGTGCCACAAAAAGCAAATGAACAACAGACTGAATGGAAAGCAATGGAAAGCAATATTTACTCCAAACCCCACCAACCTGCACCTTGTAGATTTTACTCTTCCAACACCCAGCCTTCAAGGCATTGTGCAGGAGCTCTGCATCTCTCAGGATTTGCTCCCATGCTGTAACACTGGGTGTATTTACTCCATCACTTCCCCAAATCACTATTGCACTGCCTGTATTCACACTGTTCAAGGGCTTAGAGGTACAGGGAGAGACAGCTATTCCAGTCACCATCTGCTGGTGACAGCAAATGTTCTCCACATGGCTGTCTTCAAAATTCATAGCAAAGTACCCTTTTGAGATAAATTTTACCTAGATGGCTTTTTACATAGTGAGATGCCTTACAGGTCCAAATGAACAAGGCAGAAGCCAGCACTCCTCTCTAGGCAGAAAGTGTGCTTCAAATTTCAACCCAAGCCACACATAAAACTCCAGAGCACACGAATGAGGCCTTAACCATATTATAGTATGCTCTTCAGAATGCGTATCTCTGAATACTTTGTAAAGTGCGTTATTTTTTTCTCTCCTGGTCACACCGCAGTAATAACAAATCAAACTACAATAGGCATCTCCCCAAAAATAGCAATTGAATTAAAGATGATCATGAAGAATCCAAAATAAGGCCAAATACGTCCTAGCTGACACTATAAACAATGCCATGGGGGGGGAAAAGTAATGTAGAAAGATTCCTAACTTGTAAAACTCTATCCATATTCAGTACTGTTTCTGATGGCTACTGTTTTAGTATTTTGTGAACTGTGCCCTGTATGACCTTTTCCCAAGAGCTTAAAGGGTCAAGGCCACAGTAAGGCCATGAAAGCCAGGTAAAAAGTCAAACTCATACAGCAACTAGCACCACAGAATGAAACACAAGCAGCACTCGGGCTCAGGAAGCCATGCTCCCTTCTTAGGAAAGGGAATTTGGCCAGGAAAGAAGGCTTTTTGCCAAACTTCCAGGTGCATTCTGGCCATGGTTGCTTTAAACTACTTGGGGATTCAAACCAGTCCTCAGCCAGACCAAGGACTGAAATGAAAACTCTGGGCTGCCAAAAGATACTACTTGCTTTCCTTTGCACACTCTGTAAGGTGAAACTGCTGTGCAGAGCAGTTACCTCCAAAAACAACACTGTGTGCTTGAGGCTGTGGCATGAAGCACTGATTTTCATGATGCCTGGTGGCTGAGGAAGCTGGCAAGCTGTAGAGCTTACACAACTCCTTAGAGATTACACAGACATAAGAAATAGAAAGAGACAGAGATTACTGAAACTACTGTTTACTCCGGCTTATACTTGAACACATGATAACCTCACCTCTCTTTATAGCAGACCATAAACTCATGTTGATTTGGGGAAATTTTACTGACTGCTGTTTGACAATGCTGATTCTGAGAGGATGTCCACAAATCTTACCAAAAATATCTATTCAGGTATAAGAAAAACCCTCACTTGAGCTCTACTTCTTTCAGTTGTGTATTTGAATAGATGGGAATTATTGTTCTATTAATCTTCTCTTGTCCTGGGAAAATTATGAGGATTGCAGTGGGAATTTAAGGAATTTACAGTTTACAACATCTGTGTGTCTGCTTGCCCTGGAAATTTGGTGACAAATGTTCTGAAACAGGTTTTTATAAAGATAAGAAAAAAAACTAGATCTGCAGCTAGAAGTAATGGAGTTGTTCATGCATCACTGAAAAAAATGTTCTTTAGACATCAATTTCCCAAAATGATTTTGGAAAAAGATCATTACAGCCCAATCTGAATTCAGCACCATTTTACAGCTGAGCTGAATTTGGCTGTGCCTTTCACTTTCTCAGAAGCTGGGGGATCGAATCCAGAAAACAGATTTATAAAATCCTGTTCTATTTGTGGTCAAATTCTGCCACCAAATCTCTCAAACTGTCAGGGGAAAACCGATCTTTAAGGGTAAAACACCTTAAATGACCCAGCTCCTACTCCCGGCAGTGAAAAACTTTCTCTGTGTTGAGGTAAAATGTGACAGTCAAGATCCTCCAAAGTGTATTGCTGTCCATCTTCCACTGCCTTCAAATCAGTGAAGATACATATAGTTTTGTGTAAGAGGAAAAAGCAGAAAGACCAGAGGATCCAGTGACTGTACATTTCATATAATCTTCTTCAGAGAATAATTTCTGTAGTGCTTATCATATAGCTATTGGGCTCTTCATTACTCCTGACATTTGCATTAAGTGCCTCCCTTTTCCTCTTGGAAAGTAACATTTTCCTACTTCATAGGAGTGGTATAAAGAAAAACATTGAATTCTGGCTTTGGTTTACTTCTTTTTATCTTGGGTTTGGTTTTTTGTTTTTGTTTTTTTTTATTAGTTAGTTTTTAACCCAAAGTTACTTTTTTCTTCAATAAGAAAAGATCTCTGGTAAGGTTTTAAGTAAACACCATCACATTTCAGATGCTGGCTGGCAATCACAGGTGCTAGGAGGAGTCAAAAGCGTAACACAGATTTGGGAAGGTAAGGGAAGCTATAGTTCGTTAACAGCTTGGGATGCCTGGCTGCACAGCTTTTCTGCTTTTTGAATGGAAAATTTACTTGCCTTCCTCAGACCAGTATCTCAGGAAAAGCTCTGTCCAAGGAAGGTTATAAATTCAGATAATAGAAGGCAAACCAAAAGGAGCAGATATTCCCATTACAGCAAGCCTGAGTCATCCTGCCCCATACTTCATATTATTCCATAGAAACAAGCCCTTCAGCCGAGCTGTGCTGTTCAGAAACTACCTGCCTATTTGCACATAAATAGAGGTTTCATAGCTGTAGCTCTGGCATTCTCTACCTTCAGCTACTCAACTTCTCAACATTGATAATCTCCTTTCAAAATTAGTTTAAAGGAATTTTTATTTCTAAGGTCTTTCCCCCCCCCCCCCCCCCCAAGATGTTCAGGCATTATTTCAACATACTGCTAAAGTTTGCCTGAGGAGTGCACAAAAGAGAAAGGAAATGGTGATTCTTAGTTAAGAGCTTACAGCTCACCTAAACCTGGATAAAATTTCATAGGGGTAAAGAAAAGTCATTCCCTTAGCCTGAGGGCTTTCTCCCTGCTGAGTTTCAAAGGTCTGCTGCAACTAATGGAAATGTCAGTTTCTCATGAAGATTGCAAGAATCGTTTATGAAGCTCCCCTTACAAAACATCCTATAATTTCCTGGGGGGTAACTGTCCACCAGAAGTTGACATCACTCCATCAAGTTAGTGTTAACTTTCCTGTTTCCTTCTGCTTTGCACTTAACTTAGAGCAAGTCTTAAGCAAACTGTTCATCTCTGTATGCGCCTTCTGTAAGGGCATTCTGCTCCTCTAATTGGTTTGGTGTCAGTGCCACACATTCAGAGGTCCCACTGCTTCCCAGAGGGTCATTGCCCCAGCACCACCTCACCACACAAGGCTCAGCACACTGTTGCTTCCCATGCAACAGATAATTTCACAGGGAGAAGACTGCAGGAAGGGAGAAAAAGTATCAGGAACACCCAGATGGGTGATCTAGGGAGAGCATTCCATCAGGTGCCTCTTGCTGTGGGAGAGTTGTACTGGGGAGAGGAAACCAAATCATAAACCTCAGGGATTTTGTAAGGAAGAATGGCCACACTTTACAGAAGAGAAAGCATGCATCACAGCCATGGGGTCTGCTTATAAGGGGAAGCAGCATAGGTCTCTTCCGGGGTCATGCACACCCACACTAACTCCTCTAGAGAGGACTGGCTGCAAGGTCCATCCCCAAAACCATGATTTGATGGGGACAGAGACATTCTCAAAATGGAAACACGGGGGAAGCATGCCTGTGAATCACTGTAGCCACCAGCAGACTACAGAGAGGAAAAAAGCAGCATCACTAACTAGCTGTTTGACAGAGATTGCCATTAGAGAGTAGACATTGATTAGCAGCATCAGGGTGTGTGCTACAGCTAAGAGTCCCTGCTGCAGCCTCTAAAGGCTAACTTACTGATCTCAGAGCATCCTTAAGGTAAGGTAACAGAGAGTGTGACAACCCCAGCCACCAAGTATGAATAAAATAAGAAAGTTTCTCAGATGTACCATAGGGTTGCTTCACACCACAAAGCAATAGGAATGATCTTAACCCCCTGCAGTTTCAAGAAGTGACACAGCTTCATGACTGGTCTGACTAGAGCATTTTTCCCCATGGAAAGAAGTACCTTAAATCCCATATTGCTGCATGGTACATATGACCACTTAAGCTGGTAATAAAACTTTCAGCCTATACTGTGCCATTACTTTTATAGGTGAAATACATTTTATTAATCTTTAAAAATATGTATTTTCAATTTTAAGATTATTTGGTCCCACCCTTTCTCAACTCATTTATATTAAGTGTAAGCCAGGAGTAGCTCAAAACTAAGACGGTTAAGCCAAATGTATGTTATATCTAAATCAGACCCATTCTGGTCATGTCTTCCAGAAATCTTAGAGGAATTTCTGGTCACAAACTCATTTTTGCTTAACCATCAGCAATTAGTATTAGAGACCATTTTCAGATTCTAAATTCATGTTTTACTGAAGCGACTCCCATTAAAATAGAGTAACTAACCCCTCTGCAGCTCTTCCGTATTTGTCCCTAACAGCCTATTCAAAACATAAAACTAAGGATGTCTGATTAGAGCAAAAAGTACATCCTCATTACAGGGAGCTGAGAGCAGAGCACATTTATAATAATTTGCAGCATTAGCAGATGGGTTAAAAAAAAAAACCCAACAATCTTCAGACTGAACTCTTGAGCTAATCTAGGTTATTCCTCTGAAGCCAGGGGTCCTTATTAATGTCATCTTTAATATCTCCTGGGAGAAGGACGTATATCCTTGAACACCATTTTAGCACTGGTGGGAGAGGGCTTAGTCAACTTGATGGGAACATCAAGTTCCCCTCACAAAGCAGTTCATAGTCTCAGGCAGCACACTAGGGACACAGAGAGGCAGAACGGGGCTGGGTCATCGCTGGACAGGGATACACATCACCTCAGTTCATAGTGCGCTATCTGCACACAGGACAGGCACCCAGCATATGGCACATTGGTCTTGGTTCCTCCCTCAGCAGCTCCTTCCGTAGGGATACAGTCCTGCCTTCACCAGAGGGTCCCAGTTCTGCTCAGTCTTAAACTCACTGGGGTTGACAGACCAGAGCCCTGCACAAGACACCATCCTCTTTCGTTCTACTTTTGTAAAAGAAAAATAAAAATGAAAGTGAAAAAAAAACACCAAACCCAAACAAACTAAAACCAAACCCCAAAACCACACAAACAAAAGAATTCCAAAAAGGTCTTCCCATCTCCCCCTGAGCTCCAAACTCAACAGGATCCTGGAGCCAGAAGCCATTGTTTTTCATACTGTTACCTATGTATTTGCTCTGGCTTAGACACTAAACACTGCAGCCTGACCAGACGTAAGCAGGTTTGGAGAGGGCATTTCTGGTCCTCCTGTGGTGTTTAGGCTGTGTATGTAGGTGCTGTGGGAGGAAGGCAAACTCATGCCAGCTCATGAGTGAAGAAGAGGGAGTTTGGCATTGTGGGATTGTCACCATGACTTTACACACACAAGGAACAAAGTTGCTGGGATGTTTAGTGCCTATGTTAGAAAGGTAAGGAAATAAAGAAGAGAAAAAGATTTAGCTAACCCCCCCTTCTGAACAGTACCCCACTGACCACAAGGTCCCATTGCTGTCAGTGGGTGACCCAGACCACCACACACCAAACTGGTCCTGAGCAAACTTCATTAGAGTTTCTTAATTCTAATGATTCTTATTCTAATTCCAATGTTTCAGCAAAACTGGGAGATAGGAGCCAGTTGGGAGAGGATGATGAAGAAACTTAAAGTAAAAAAAAACAAACCACAGTAGAGACATTCCCTGGGTATCCGATGAGCACGCACTGAAGTTACTGGAAGGGCTCCCATTGATTGCAGTGCAGTTTGGGTCAGTCCCCCTGATGCACTGTGGAGGCTCTGCAGTCCTTTGAACTTGGTATTATTTCAGTGAATGTATTAATGTTTGGCTCTGTTAAGTGTATTATGATAATACTGCTTTGGAAATAGAGTCACTTATAATTCAAAACTATACAGTAAAAAAAAATCGTGGTATGTGCTCAGTAACATATTTGTTGCTGCGCAGCCATTCTATAGAGTGCATTTAACTGTGTTTTGTGTATTATTCTTAACATGCATTCACAGTAGACAGCAAAGCAGCAGTTATGGGGTATGCTGTGAATGCATATTAACAGCAGTACACATTTGCATATCATGGATCCATAATACAAAATGCGTAGTAAAATCCTTATGAAAAGTTATTATGCATGCACAGTAGAAGCTTTTTAAACCTTGATATCTCAGCTATTTTGTTTCTCCACTATTTATTTGAAAATATTAAAAAGGTCAAATGATGGATTAAGAATCTGCAAAAATG